TTATGAACTCCGACTTGCTCTCCCGTGAAGCTGAAAATATCACTCTTCTTTTGAGTTTGCTGGTTAGAGTTTACTCTATATTTTTGAAATAGAAAAGTTATTTGTGTTCGTTTTTTATGTGTGCTTCATATGGTTGTTTTCCTGGTGGTATGACAGGAGGAAGAAGACTTTTATGTTCGATATTACACTCTTCAGATTTTGACAGCTCTGCTTATGAATTCTCAAAACAGGTATATATCTTAGGATAATCTCTGTGTCATTTTTCTATCTATATGCTATAGAGACTTTTGCTGACTGTCTCTTCAGGTTGCAGGAAGCTATTTTGACCACTCCTCGCGGCATAACTCGACTCATGGACATGCTAATGGATAGAGAGGTAAACAATTAACTATATATATTGGATATGTATGATCTTGCTATTGGTTTGCTTAACAGTCTGATCTCTTTAACCTCCTGTCAACCTCAAATAGGAGGTTATGAGACAGTGAACTCTGGAAGGGATGGATATTGTGTTTGTAAACTTTATTATTTGGTGTATGCCTTGCAGGTAATCCGGAACGAGGCTTTGTTGCTTCTTACGCACTTGACTCGTGAAGCAGAGGTGAGACCTCCTGGTTATATTTGTAACTGTTCCTTTTCTTCTGCCTTGAGCTGAGGGCAGCCATTGATTGATCGATCTTGCACTTGTAGGAGATCCAAAAAATTGTTGTCTTTGAAGGTGCATTTGAAAAGATTTTTAGCATCATTAAGGAGGAAGGGGGGTCAGATGGCGATGTGGTTGTGCAGGTGAGCAGTAGCTCTTTAAAAATATTTGTAGCACTTGTAATCTGTTAAAAATTTGGCATTTAAAAAGGATAAATGAAGAAGCCACTTCTCCTAATTTAGGCCTAAACATTATTGGCTTTTACATTTCCATATGTTGTCTTCTTGAATTTTTTTACGAGCATTGTCAGCATGCTTTGGGATTGCTTGCTTATGCTTAACTTCGAGTTCCTTGCCCATGCACTTGCACTAATTTTATTCTTTATTGACAGGACTGTCTGGAGTTGTTGAACAATCTTCTTCGCAGCAGTTCATCAAACCAGGTTTTGAAGCTTTGTTTCTGGTCTTGATTTTTCTGATTAATTTACTAGATCTAAACAAAGGCTGATATTTGAAATTGTACAGATACTACTAAGGGAGACCATGGGTTTTGAACCGATCATTTCAATTCTAAAACTGCGAGGGATTACATATAAGTACACCAAGCAAAAGGTTAGATCATTGAGTGCTTCTCGTATTTTGGATTTATATTACCAGCTCATGCAATTTTGTTAATCTTTGTCCTTCTGAATGAACAAAATCCCAGTAGACTGTTAATCTACTTAGTGCACTGGAGACAATTAATATGCTGATCATGGGAGGTGCAGACACGGAGCCTGGAAAAGATTCAAACAAGCTGGCAAATAGAACAGTTTTAGTTCAGGTTTGTTATGATACACAAATGTTGTAATTTCTTTTTGTAGACCAAAACAAATATGTTTCTTATTCTATCGTATTTGATCCAACAACAGAAAAAACTGCTAGACCACCTACTGATGTTGGGTGTTGAAAGCCAATGGGCGCCTGTTGCTGTTCGCTGTATGGTAAGCAAATCTTCTTTCGTCAAATTTTTGTCCTTTAGTCCCTTTCCCTTTTTGACTTTTTGTTATCATTCATGTTTCATTGTATATCAAAATTACTTTCCTGATTTGCGCAACTGACAATAAGTTGGAATTTTTTCATTTAGATTCTAGAATTCAACTGTTGAACCTTGTTTCTAGGTTGACTTTGGAACTGATATGCTTTCAGTGATATAGTAGCAGTTTTTTAGATTGTTGCACTTTTTTTAAAGCGTCTGAAGTCCAAGTATTTTTATTGATGTTTCTTTTATAATGGGTCTTTTGCTTTGTGATTCTTTGCTGCTAGACATTTAAATGCATTGGAGATCTAATTGATGGACATCCCAAGAACCGTGATATCCTTGCTAGCAAAGTTCTTGGTGAAGATCGGCAAGTAGAACCTGCACTCAATTCTATCCTCAGGATCATTTTACAGACGTCCAATATTCAAGAGTTTGTTGCAGCTGATTACGTTTTCAAGACGTTCTGTGAGGTTTACTTTTTGTCTTATATATTTTTAGTTCATAGTCTAATGTGATATTGCATATTCTAATATAGCATGTGATTGCGTCTTTATCTAGAATCTCATTCACTAAACGTTTTCAGAAAAATCCCGAGGGTCAAACAATGCTAGCTTCGACTTTAATACCTCAACCACATCCCACAGCCCGAGATCCTCTAGAAGATGATGTTCACATGTCATTTGGAAGGTGCCATCTTCTTTTCCTTTCTTCCGCAGCTTTTGCAGTGTTGTTTTGAAAGGATCTCACTCTTCATTCTCATTGCGTGTTTGCATGGTCCTTCAACTTTGAGCTACTTCTCTTGTATCAAAACTTATCCAACTTTTATCTATATGTGTCAGTATGTTGTTACGAGGCCTTTGTTCTGGTGAAGCTGATGGTGATCTTGAGGTAAAATTGTTTCTCTCTGTTGGATATTTATTTAAAAGCATTGCGGATCTTAAATTTATTTTTTCTTCTTTAAACAGACATGTTGCAGAGCTGCAAGCATTCTTTTTCATGTTGTGAAGGACAACCTTCAGTGCAAGGAAAAGGTAACTAAGTCATCACTTTAACCTTATGTTCTGTATGCAATATTTTTGTTGTCCCTGCATTGGCTGACTTTCTGCAAAACTCAATAGGCTTTGAAAATCGTACTTGAATCACCTATGCCTTCCATGGGAACTCCAGAGCCTCTCTTGCAGAGGATTGTCAGATACCTGGCTGTTGCTTCTTCCATGAAAGGCAAAGATAAATCAAGCACACTGGGGAAATCATATATTCAACAGATCATTCTAAAACTGCTTGTGACATGGACTGTTGATTGTCCGGCTGCAGTTCAGTGCTTTTTAGATTCTCGCCACCACCTAAAGTTTTTGCTCGAGCTGGTAACAGACCCAGCTGCAACAGTTTGCATAAGGGGATTGGCGTCTATTCTATTGGGAGAATGCGTCATTTACAATAAATCAATTGAGAATGGTAAAGATGCTTTTGCTGTAGTTGATGCTGTGGGCCAGAAGATGGGGCTTACATCATACTTCTCGAAGTTTGAAGAGATGCAGAACAGCTTCATCTTCTCTACCTCCAAGAAACCTCAACAGGGTTATAAACCGTTGACAAGAACAGCCACGCCTAGTGAAGCCGAGATTAATGAGGTGGATGGGGCAGATGAGATGGTTAGAGGGAATGAGGATCATCCAATGCTCTTGTCTTTGTTTGATGCTAGTTTCATAGGCTTAGTGAAGAGCCTGGAAGGCAACATCAGAGAGAGAATAGTGGAGGTGTATAGTCGGCCAAAAAGTGAGGTGGCTGTAGTACCAGCAGATTTGGAGCAGAAGAGCGGAGAAATTGAGAAAGACTACATCAACCGCTTGAAAGCCTTTATAGAGAAACAGTGCTCGGAAATTCAGGTACATGCCTCTTCTCAACTCGTCTATGCTACTGAGTCTAATACAATAAGCGTATCTGAAAGTATGACATTTAGCTCTTTGATTGCAATTAAGAAAAAACTTGAGACTCTTCACTGTGAAATTTGGAAATAGATTTGAGGTTAAGGCAGTTCTGCTAAAATATCAGGATTCGGAAGCATTGCATCTTGTTACAACGGAAACAGAATATAGTAAGCACTAAGTATCTGCGAAGATGCATCTTGTTAGAAGGAAGCATTAGGTTTGGCTAAGATTGGTTTAGGAGGAAGCATTAGGTTTAGCTAAGATTGGGTTTAGGAGGAAGCATTACGTTTTGCTAGGATGGGTTTAGTAGGAAGTAGGCCTAGGAGGAAGCATCAGGTTTTGCTAAGATTGGAATAAGGATGAGTAGGTCGTATGTTCACAGGGGGAAAGCAAATCATACAATAGGTCTCTTTATTTATTTGATATATATTTGTTAAGGTTAACAAAGAAAAAAAGAAATCTGAACATCAGTTGTGCCTGAAAGAGCTTTTTGTTGTTGCGGCCTGTTTTTTGCAGAACCTCCTAGCTCGTAACGCTGCTTTGGCAGAAGATGTAGCTAGCTCTGGCAGGAATGAGCAATCTCAAGGATCAGAGCAAAGAGCAAGTACAGTAATGGACAAGGTTCAGATGGAAAGCATCAGGCGAGAACTTCAGGAGACATCTCAGCGTTTAGAGACGGTTAAGGCTGAAAAAGCGAAGATCGAATCCGAGGCATCAACTTACAAGAACATGGCTGCGAAACTTGAGTCGGATCTAAAAAGCCTATCGGACGCATACAACAGTCTAGAACAGGCGAATTACCATCTTGAGCAGGAAGTGAAATCCTTGAAAGGAGGAGAAGGTCCCATGGAGTTTCCTGATATAGAAGCCATTAAGGAAGAAGTGAGAAAAGAAGCTCAGAAAGAGAGCGAAGATGAATTAAACGACTTGTTAGTATGTCTGGGACAAGAGGAGAGCAAAGTCGAGAAACTAAGCGCGAAGCTGATAGAATTAGGAGTTGATGTTGATAAGCTTTTAGAGGATATTGGGGAGGAATCAGAAGCTCAAGCCGAATCTGAAGAAGACTGACCATTGAACAAGTTGTAGAGATTTAAAGTCCTCTAAAATGCTCTCTTCATCAGGTAATGGAACTTGTACAGTCTTGGGTGGTTTATTTTGATGTTTGCCAATTCTCGTTGCTTAATCTTTTAGTTATAACTCTTTAAATTATCTACCAACTTCTTAGATTGCTCGAAACATGTTATTACCATTGTCTTACGTTTACAGATTCATCTACATTTTAAGTTACCGCAGCCTGTTATGCTTTTCATATTTTGTTGAAACAATCAATCAAGTACTCAGTTCAATTACTTGTGTTTGCCTTAAAATATTCATGATTTATAGAGATTCGATTTAGTGATAAAAACATCTTGAGGTAAGGCAAAAATAGATATACATAATTGATGAGCTTAGACAAACATACTGACCTGAACCCAGATAACCAATCCACAAGCCATACCATATCTTAATGGATTCACATTTCTCTATATCCAAACCCCGAATCTGAAGCCGACTTTTTTTGAAAATTAAGGATATAACTGACTAGAATGCCGAAAACAAACCTAAACCCGGATTAAACACCTCCTAATTTGAGCCTAACACAGAAACTCACTCTACAATTGCAGCACAAACCACACGCATTGTACAAAGTAACCTAAGTAGAGAGCTAAGATAAACCACAAAAGATGATTAATTTAGCGGTTAATCACCACAAAGCAACGCCATTAGATCCGTTGGTGAGCTCCATATGGGAAGATCAAAGAAGGACTGCTTCTTCTCTTCTTCTTCAATTCTACATATGTTCTCTGCAACTTCACACAGCTTCGAGACGTCATTAATCACCGCTTCTTGTGATTCCGCCTGCAAATTTCAAATTAAATTTTAAAAAACGAACCAATTCCAAAATTTCATCGAATTGAGTAGAAAAAACAAAAAAAAAAAAACCCTAATTACCATAAAAAGAAGTTGGTCGAGCATAGACGACGGCGCAGAAGCATCTTCACCGCCAAATTCTCGAGCTCCTTCTTTAGTATAGGAAGCATTCTCAGGAAACGAGATCGTCTCTTTAGCATTTGACATCTCTTCTCGCTGCGTCGTTTGAAATCGATCTGCTTTCACTTGCATAGAATTCAAACTGTTCGATAAAATCTCCCACTGCTCGATCTCACTCTGATACTTTCTTTTGAGCTTCACCAGTATTCTCTTCTTCCGTATTCTTCGATTCCTCTCCTCTACCACGGGATCTAACTCTGGATCCGGCGGTTTTAATGTTTCTTCAGCGTCGGCGATACGGCTTCGTTTTTTTCGTTTGTAAACGAAGCCGTCGTCGTTGTAAAGTTCCCAATCTTCGTCTCCGTCTATAGGATTCTCTGACGGCGGAATTGGTGAATCCATTCGCCGTGAAAATGCGATGGAGCGGGAAAATTCTGAGTAGCGAATTTCAGAAAGGTAAAGGGATCAAAGTTGAAAGATTTTACAGGTCAGATCCGAATTGCCAAAGTCGGGATATCATTAAAATGATTATGGGCCGAAAGCTAATTACTTAAGGCCCAACAAATATAGTGTCATTATATTTATTTCACGGTATCTTAAAAAATAAAAATAAACGAACGTGATTTAAGAACTTTAGACAGATAAAGAGCATGAATAACGGAGCATCTTAGCCCATATCTTAGTTAATTATCTTAGATTTTAGCATTTAAAATTAAATCAAAAATGATTAAAAGGCTAAGAAGTAAATCTTAGCTTAGATGTTTTTTGTGTGTTAAGATGTGTACATGTGTCTTAATATAAGTGGGCGAGAAAAAAGACAAAACCAAAAATAAAATTTAACGCGTTTTACTTTTTTTCTCAGTTCATCGTGTTTCTCTCTCTCTTTCTCAACATCCAAAAACGCACTGCGAGAGCTCTTCAATCCGGCTCGATCCGATGAATTGAGAAGAGATATGAGTCGGAAATTAGTCATTCGTCTGCCGTCATCATCATTCAACCGAAGATGGAGACTATCGACGATTTCTGGTTCACCAATTTCTTCGATACGATGGCCACTAGAACTCGAATTCGTGATCGAGGTATGCATCTACAATTGAAGAAGGATTTGGTCGAGCATATATGGACAAAATATTCTAGAAATTAAGTTTAAAATATTTGTGCTTTATGTTATTTATGTTATAAATTTTATCTCATGTATGTTTTAATTTTTTTAATTTGCAACAATTATTAAATTTTCTATAATTATAAATTTTATTTTTGTATTAATATTTTTTTTTCTAAGAACCACATGTTAAGAACCTACCATTAATCACACAAAAATCTTAACCCAAAAATACTATATCTTAACTATCACTTTTACAAATATATTACTTAAATATTCCTAAGATTTATTTCTAAGATACTACCAATAATCATGCTCTAAGGACTGGAGGATGCACATATAAATATTTTAGTAATGTTCATGTTCGTTTCATAATCGCCGGCGATTACGACTGCGGCTGCGATTTTAAAATTGCGGGATATGGTTCGTTTAGCAATCGCGTGACTGATAGCCATATAAAAAATCGCATCGTTACTTTTTCCTGCGATCAAAATTTCAATCGCTAACGAACAATTTTTAGTTGCAGTCGCAGGAGACTTACGACTGTTAAACGAACATCACCATACTTGATAGAATTTGGTGTACTGCCTATATATTGTACCATATGCATGTGTAAAATACTCACACCGTACTGCCTATATTCGAATAGCCAAGTATCTATTGAAATTGTACAAGTATACTGCCTATACTCGCGTTATGCACCGGTTTTGTTTCATTGAAATTGCTTAACACAAAAAAAATACAAATTGAAGAGCTTAACTTAAAGATAAATATTTAAACTAATAGAAAAATCAGCGATAAATTATATTAACTTTTAAGGTTGAAATTGATATTTTTTTTTTTTTTTTTTTTGCAATTTTTCGATGGATATGTTGAAAATTTCAGACCGAAAACGTCATTTTTCTGGGGTGCGTAATTTCACATAGTTATAGAGAATCATGTGCTTGTTGCTAGTGGCTCGTGTGAAGCAAGCATTTAAGCATCATGGGTCAGTGCTTGTGTCTACGAGCTCGAGCACACATTCCAAACTTAACACCAAAAAAAAGAGAAAAAAAAACTAGAGAGAATCCTTGAGTACATTTTTTTTTTTTTTTTTTTGTCATATCACTTAAGTAAATAGTCATTTCACTTGATTTTTTTAGTTATCAAGATATCATTTAAATCAAATTTGAGAGGAAATCGCGTGCGTGGATCTCACTCGCAGCGATTTTTCTCTCTCAAATTTTCTACCTTTTCTGATCACAATCTCTTGGGCCGCGGTCGGGTTCTCCGTCGATTCCGACAACAATGAGGACCCAGAATCAAAGGAGCAGTGGAGGAGAGAAGCTTCTGCCCGACAACGACGGTAAGAGCTCTATCGGCGATGTAGCGATGCGGAGTGGAAGACAGAGATCTATGGTGAGGAACAAAAGAGGCAAGCAGTTAGATCTAGGGACCGAAGATTATGGAGGTTTAACGGGATCTTTGTTGATGGGGGTAGGTAGACTCGGATCCGGCGAAACTAAGCCACCGTCGACGGTCTCTTTTTCTACTCCCTACTGTTTCTCTTTCTCATGACCGAGCAAAGATCTCCTCGACAAAGACAAGATCGGATCTCTTCCTTCTTCTCAATACGGCTCTACGGTGGCAGGATGGCAACGGATCTTGGATCACCATCTCGTTTGGCTTGCGTCGTCCAGGCTCACCGGAGGTCCTGTTCTGGCGAGAATCTGTAGATTTGGACGGCGGCTTTAATCATGTTCTTTGATAGAAGATTAGGGTTTCTTCTCATGACCGGTTTAGTTCGGTTTGTAAACCCGAGCCGGTTTTCGGTTTTTTGGTTGTTTTGTTAATGGATTGTTGTTTGTGGGTTGGGCTTTAGGGATTTTGAATGGGCTTATATCCGGAAACTAGATTTTAACCCGCGGTACACTGTGGGATGATTTATTTTTAAAGTTGGTATAAGAATATTTTGTAAATTGTATCTTCTTATAAAATATTTATTTATATTATAGTTTACAATTGTTATTAAGTAATGGTATACCACGAGTCCACGAGATAATTGTTAATAAATTGAGGATTTAATCCGTATTAAAGCGGCATGTTAATGATATTTATAAATATTGATTTGAATTTGTCCGCCATATAAACCCGTTCTAAAATATAACTCGTTCCGTAATTTCTTAACCCGTCCTGTGATTTATTTTTATTTTAAAATTTAATGATTATTTATTATATATAAAAGCTTACAAATCATATCATTCTTTAAGACATTTATATTTTAATAAACTGAAGATTTAAGGGAGACTCACAAAAATGCCCCTTTTTCAATACCTCTTTTCAAAAATGCCCCCTATGGATGTCTATTTTTAAAAATACCCCTTTTATGTACAAAATGACTAAATTACCCTTCTTTTAATAAAAGATATCATAAATATATAAGGAAATATAACAAAATTAGGTCCACAAAATACAAAATATTTTTTGGCGGGAAAAGTGATTCCCCAATTTTTCCCGCCAAAACACTTGTAAAAATTTATAAAACCTTTAAAATACCTTGTAAAATTTTCCCGTAAAATTTTTTCCCGCCAAAAAATTTTCCCGCCAAAAATTTTTTTTTGTGGGAAAAGTGATTCCGCAATTTTTTTGGCGTTAAATTTTTGGCGGTAAAATTTTTCCCGCCAAAAATTTACAAGGTATTTTAAAGGTTTTTTACAAGGTATTTATAAGGTTTTACAATGTAATTTAAAAGGTTTTACAACGTATTTACAAGGTATTTATAAGATATTATAAGATTTTACAAGCTATTTTATAAGGTTTTTACAAGTTATAAGGTTTTACAAGTTTTTTATAAGGTTTTACAAGTTATAAATACCTTATAAAACCTTAAAAGTACCTTGTAAAACCTTTTAAAATACATTGTAAAACCTTACAAAACACTTGTAAATACCTTGTAAAAAACCTTTAAAATACCTTGTAAATTTTTTCCGCCAAAAATTTTCCCGCCAAAAAAATTTCGCAAAAAAAATTGCGGAATCACTTTTCCCGCAAAAAAATTTTTTTGGCGGGAAAATTTTTTGGCGGAAAAAATTTTTACGGGAAAATTTTACAAGGTTTTTTAAAGGTTTTTACAAGTGTTTTGGCGAGAAAATTGCGGGATCACTTTTCCTGCCAAAAAATATTTTGTATTTTGTGGACCTAATTTTGTTTCAAATAAGGGTAAAATAGTCATTAAAAATTAAAAGAGGGCAAACTTAAAAATGGACTCTCAAATGGGACATTTTTGAAAAGGGGCATTTTTAACAATTTCTCAAGATTTAATCTGTATTAAAGCGGCATGTTAATGATATTTTAAAATTTTATAAATATTGATTCAAACTCGTCCACCATATAACTTAGTTCCGAAATATAACCCGTCCTGTAACTTCTTAACTCGTCCCGTGATTTGTTTTCTAAAAGTAGTAATTTTTAAAATTTAACGATTATTTATTATATATAAAAGTTTGCAAATTTTATAATTTTTTAAGATATTTATATTTTATAGTTTACAATTGTTATTAAATAACATTATACCACAGAACAATTTTTGGTTTTATACAATCTTTTCTAAATGAGACTGATTTAATATGTCTAATATTGGTGGTATTAAAAAAAATTAAGGATTTAATCCGTATTGAAGCGGCGGATTAATGATATTTTAATCTTTTTATTATTGTTGATTCAAAAATCCGTTGCGCCAAACCCGTCCCGCCAAACCCGTCCCGCCAAAAAACTCATTTATTTTATTAGTGTTGATCTTATTTATGATATGATTCTGAATCATTGTCTAAATATTTTAATCGATGTAGAACGTTGAACACACATTTTCGTCAATTGGATAATATATGTCCGTTTTTAAAATTTTGAATCACAGTATATGCAGAAAAAAGAATTGATTTTTTTTTTACTTATGTATTATATGATGATTCAAAACAGTTAAAAACAAATCAAACAAAGATGATAGGAGAATCATAATTCTAAATCTTAATCAAATTTTCTAAATATCTAAATTATTAAATATTGAATATCCGGTGTATGAGTTGGGTTTTATTTAACCCGATCCAAGTATTTTTTGTGAAGGAATTTAAAAAATGGTCGGATATCCGATTAACCCAGAAGCATTTTTACCCACCCGTCAACAAAGTGTTGCAAAAATACTAGTATAAATAGCCCATTAGACACTTATTTATAAAAATTGCAAACCTTTTATCAAAAAAAAAAATAGTTATTTCAAAATATTATGATAAAAATACCAAAATATTTTAATGACTAATCTCGAAGGAATCATCGTCGGCTCAATGTTAGCTGTCATGAATTTTACGTCGTCATTAATTATTACCATCAAACACGTGTAAGTTGACTCAGCAACCATGACGATTAACTAACATGGGTTAATTACGACATCGAAAAAAACACTAAATCTAAAGTTTGGGTATTAAATTCGAAATTTTTTCGGTGTGAGTTGAAATTAATCCTACAAATTTGTTCAAGTATAAAAATATACTTTACAAATTGTACGGGTATGAAAATACCATTTTCCCTAACAAAAAAGTCTAAGTAAACAAATTAACATGGGAGACAAAAACTAAGCGGGACAATCGATACTAATTAGTGTTTAAATTGTGCCCACTAGTTGTATTACTATAGTTTTGTCAACAGCAATATTATTGAATATAATAATTGTGTAACAACTAACAACTACCGATATTGATGTAATTAATTAGTGTAAATAGAGAAACAACTACATTGATCAATCATTACATTAAACCAAAGTAATATTACCGATCTAAACATTAATTTGCATTCTCTCCACCTCCACCATGAGTTCGAAGTTAGAAGGACATGAGCATCGTGTATCCTTGGTGAATTCTCCTGATAGTTTCGAATGCAATGCTTGCGATCGATCTTATGGTGCTGCCTACTCATGCGGTGAATGCAAGTTTGCTATTCACTTTCAATGTGTATTTCTGTTCAAGATACAAGAGATACTCGACCATCCTTCTCATGATGGGCATTGTCTTAAGCTTCTCACAACGGGAGCTCCTGATGACACCGAACCTAAATGCCATCTCTGCGGTAAAAACACCAAGCGACTTCTTTATCATTGCTCTGATTGTAAACTCAATTTGGATATCGATTGCATAATTGATTACATGTGTGCCCGAGCCCATGTGACTATGCCGTGGCACAACCATCCTCTACTCATGGTTGATTTTACTTCTAATATGACGTGCAACTTTTGTGGGGATTCAGGCAAACATGGCTATTTGTGCCCTCGTTGCAGGTTGGTGGTTCATGAGAGGTGTGTCTCTGTATTTGACTTACCAGAGATTACTCATCCTTGTCATGTCAAGCATCCTCTTAAGCTTCTCACCAACGGACCTCCAGATTACACAGACCGGAAATGTCGTATATGTGGATGCTCTACCGGGAGCTTACTTTATCATTGTGATATTTGTAAGTTCAATTTGGATTTGGATTGTGCGATTAAATATCCCTCACTAGTTTCTCTTTCAAATCTCAAGGTCCATGAGCATACCCTCACAATCATGCCAAGATTGATCTCCTTCGTTTGTGATGCTTGTGGGACGAAAGGCGACCGTTCCCCTTATGTGTGTCTTCAATGCGATTTCATGATTCACGAAATTTGTTCTCATTTACCACGTGTTATTAACGTCAATCACCATGACCACCGTGTTTCGTTCAAGTATCCTCTTGGTCTTCGAGAAGTGAAATGTGGAGTTTGTTGGGAAGAGATTGATTGGTCATATGGGGGTTATTCTTGTTCCCTTTGTCCTCGTTATGCTCTTCATTCACTATGTGCAACAAGGGGTGATGTGTGGGATGGAGAGGAGCTTGACGGAGTACCTGAAGAAGTTGAAGATGTCAAGCCATTTAAGATGAATGAAGACCAAACAATCACTCATTTTGCTCATGAACATAACCTAAACAAAGACGGTATTGCTTTGAAGAAGAGCATCTTGTGTGTAGCATGTGTATATCCCATCGGTTCTAACACATTCTACAACTGTTCAGAATTAGATTGCAGTTTCATTCTCCATGAAACATGTGCTAATCTTCCTAAGAAGAAACGTCATTTTCTGAGCCCGAAACCTCTCGCTCTTAGCCTCTACAACAGGGGCTTCACCGGAAGATGCAAAGCTTGTCGTCAACCATTTTGTGAAGGATTCATCTACTCTACATTTCGGAGTCAAGACTTTGACTTACTATGCAGTTCGATTACTGTGCCTTTTATCCATGGAAGTCACCCTCATCCTTTACTCTACCTCAAACTAGGATACATTTACATGAAAACTTGCCAATGTTGTGGCCTCGAAGAGAAAGACGCCGTCATAGGTTGTATGAAATGTGATTACTTTCTGGATTTCCGTTGTGCCACTCTACCATTAACGGTAACGCTTTCTAGGTACGATGATCATCCACTCGTTCTATGTTATGGTGATGAAAAGGCAAGCGGAAAATATTGGTGTGATATTTGCGAAAGAGAAACAAATCCAAAGACTTGGTTCTACACTTGTAAAGATTGTGGGGTCACTTTACATGTTTTTTGTGTAGTTGGGGATATCAAGTTCGCCAAACCAGGAGAAAAGATCGACTACTATACAGAACTGCTGTCTAACAATAGCTCTTCACGGCCACTTTGCCACAACTGTCAGTGTCGTTGCCCAGGTCCCTTCATTCTTAAGGGAAGAAACAATGGTTTGTTTTGTTCTTATTATTGTTTCACACCGGCAGAGTCTAAGATCGACTCCATATTTAAGTTCAGATGTCCTCCGTGGGCATCAAAATCCAATGTTTGGTAGTTGATGTTCAAGTTTATTTTTATACTGTTTACGAGCTTCTGTTGATTGTTTCTTTTTCAATAAACAATTGTATTGATTGTTGGTGATGGTATGATCACTCTTCACCAAATAATGATTCGATTGATACTTGGTTTTCTAATATATATATCTACTTATCTACAGTTTACACAACATGATCATAAGACCGTAAATGTATCTTGTGGTGCCTCTTGCAGCTTCGATAATGGCATGATACTGGACACATGTTTTATGCAACTTATGACAAAGTTTCATCTTTTCAAATAATGTTTCTGCTGATTGTAGTCTATACCTTCCTTCTTCTTCTTTCTTTTTTTTTTTTTTTTTTGTGTTAATGTCAAATTTTATATCATACAATGGAAAATCGTATTCGTGGTATCAACAATATAAGAAGGAATTAAACCAGCAGAAACACTTTCTGAAAACAACATTTACTTCGCATCATACATTAACATAAGTCAAGGTCCATACGACGAATTAAGCTAACTTTTCTAAAGCTCATTGTAACTTTTGTTATTATTTAGTCTAAAACGCTGAAACTTTTAGCAAATGTGAAGCTTGAGAATATGAATCGACAGATTTTTACTATAGCTCAACAGTAAAACCTGATAAAAGTGAAAAGCCAAAAATGTTTACCGCTTTTATCCCCCGGGAATTCACATCAATAATATGATTTAACTTGATAAAAAAAAAATTGATTTAACATGAGTTCAAAGATGACTAATAAGATGTTAATGAATGTGCTTAGAATTTTCTTCTCTCCACCAGGCTATTCTATTCTATAAACATCAAATCGAAGCACAGCTCTGAAAACAAAAGAAACAGGGGAAAACAAAGAGTAGAAGTTAGAGTGAGATAGCGAAGAACGAATTTACGGATGAAGAAACATTGTTGTGAGCAGATGCTTCAAAATAAGCTTTTTCTGCATGATCATCCAATCTGTCTTGGAACATTGTCCAGTCTCTCCTGCATCTTTCTCTCACCTAGGATAAATTATATTAATTTTTAAGGTTGAAATTGATTTTTTTTTGTTGCAATTTTTTCGAATGGATATGTTGAAAATTTCAGACCGAAAACGTCATTGTTCAGGTGCGTAATCTATATATATAATGGAAGAGTTGTCTCTCCATCTAGGATGTCCATAGCATCATCCAAATCATCATATTTTAATTTTATCTGGGTTCCACATATTTTATTTACTAAAACAAAAAAAAATAAAACTATAATTAATTCACACATTTTGTAATTTATATTAATATATTTCATTAAACAAAATCAATAATTTACAAAAGAATAAATTAAATATTTTAAAAATGAAAAAATAAATTTATAACACAAAATACGAAATTTTTGAATTGAGAATGGATAAATCTAAAATTAGATAATTGTATCTTAACATATAATGAGTAAATATTCCTAAATGATTAGAGATATGAAAAAAAACTATCATATATTTTAATGATAAAACAGTCATTTTTAAGAGTTACAATTATTTAGTAGAATAAATAAAAATAAGACTTAAAAAATATACTAAATTTAAAGGTTTTTACTGAAAAATCATAAGAAAAATTTAAAGGACGAGTGAATCATAGAATATAACATGAAAAATTATAGTAAAAAGTGTGAAAAATATTTATTACTATGGAAAGATATTAAAAATAAGTAAAGTAAAATGTTTTAAAATTCAAATAATTCAAAGATTCGCATTGATGAAAAAAACTAAACTAGAATCCCGCGCAACGCGCGGATACATAATCTAGCAAACTAAATGTTGCAATGGTTAAGTGAAACGATTGCAACCATTTACATAAATATATATATATATATATATATATTAGTAATTAAAAATTCTTTTTATGAAACTTTATACCGAGAGCGAGATGCGGTCGTATATATAAATATAACAAAAATTGAAATGATTAGTCAAATAAACTAAAAATTACAAGGGTTCATAAAATAAAACCAAAAGTTTTAATGTTTCATTAATTAAACCAAATAGTGCAATGGTTAAATTAAATGGTTACAATTTTATTTAAACATATTAGTAACTAAATATTAAAATTAATAATTTATGAAAAGTTACACCGAGAAACGTGACTGTAGATAATTAAATGTTATAACTATTCATAAAATATTTTTGTTTAATGATTTTTTCTCTTTTTATTTATTTTTAAGTACTACTCCGGAAAATCTTTTATAAAGGGTAAAATATTGTGTCTGGGCGATGAAGTGTATGATCAGTGCAAATAATCAAGAGGTACCGTTTCTTACAGACTGTTCTGATCTTGTGAAGATGATGTCTTCTCCAATCGAATGGTCGGCGTTTTCAGCGTACTTGGAGGAATTCCAGAGCGACAAGGAAGAATTTTCATCATTTTTTTTATCTTTAATTAGGTTATGAACCCCCGCGATATCGCGGGGAAACTCATTTTCAACAAATATATTTGATTGTGTTTATGTATTAAATTATTATGATAATATATTCAAATATATGAATTATTACATAAAATTAACTATGTTTTAAAGTTATATCGTAAATATTTTCGAAAGATGTTAAAAATATTTATGAATAAAAATGTAAAAAAGAAGAATTATGATTAAAAACACTTTTGAAATATTTTTTATGAATGTAAAATTATTTATAGGTGACAAAATACATAATGAAGAGTTATAATATAGATATGAGAACTTCTAGCGGGTCAAAACCCAAACATTCGGATGGAGTCGGTACTCAGAATGACTTGTGGGTGACTAAGAACTTCGCCCGAAAATTAGTGTTTTTTGTTTGTCCACTGTTCTTTAAATATAAAATTAATATTTATTCTATTATATATGTTCGAGAAAATATAAAATTTGATGACGTAAATTACATCTATAAGAAAAAAAAAATATTTACAAGATCTCATAAATTTATATTTATACTGATAAATTAACTGAGTAAAAAAACTTCTTTCTTGAATATTGATGTGACGAATTAGAATCATTGTTGTTTTTCTAATAATGTAGATGATTTCTGGATTACTATACCATTTGAAAATGTTCATTTGAAGCTGACCACATTTAAAACGCCCAATCACAAGCGTCACATGAGAACTTTGAAATAGTGTTAACGCAACATCAATATTTCCTTGTATACAACCCATATATATTGATTTAAGATTGAAAACATTACTGTTACCATATAAAATAACTAAATAAAAAAAATTCACTATATAATCCGTCTAATTCTAAGAAAAATATTGTTGGTATCTTCATTAATTAGAATTTTATATGTAAAGTTGATTAAAACTTCTCCATTTTTATAATCATTTAAAAAAATTTTAGTTAGATCAAGAATGAGAAGAATTTCTTTAATATTAAAATGATGTATATGTAGAAATAGTTTAGAGAATAAAGAATTTGGAGCCATTTTACAGATTATTAATTATTTTTAGATTCATCATGAAATAAATAAATAATCTATGTTAAAGAACAAAAATTTGGGAACTACTTACGAAGAAAGATAAATATATAGAGTTCAAAATAAAGAAACATTTAAATAGACAACTATTCATACAAAAAGTTGTGACGAAAAAATGCAATGAAATATAGTGAAGAGACGTATCGAAATAAATAGATACAACTATAAAGACACAAACGTAAAGTGAAAAAATATGACTATAATTGAACAAATAGAACTGTCCCAAAAAATAACCGTCAATATTTTAACAAAAAGTGCGATAAAAAGACACAAGTTAGAAAAAATAACCGTCAATATTTTAACAGAAAGTTGTGATAAAAAGACCCAAACAAAAAAAATAACCATCAATATTTTAACGAAAAGTTGCGATAAAAAGACACAACCGAAAAAATAACTGTCAACAAAAAAGTAACCGTCAATATTTTAACGAAGAGTTGTGAAAAAAAGACACAACCGAGAAAAAATAACCGTCAATATTTTAACGAAAAGTTGCGGTAAAAAAACTCAAACGAAAATAGTAATCGTCAACATTTTAACGGAAAATTACGATAAAAAGACACAACCAAAAAAATAACCGTCAACGAAAAAGATAACCGTAAATATATTGACGAAGAACTGCGATAAAAAGACAAAAACGAAAAAAGTAACCGTCAATTTTTTAGCGAAAAATCGCGATAAAAAGACACAATCGAAAAAATAACCGTGAACAAAAAAAGTAACCGTCAGTATTTTAACGAAAAGTTGCAATAAAAAGACACAACTGAGAAAAAATAACCGTCAATATTTTAACGGAAAGTTACAATAAAAAGACTTAAGCGAGAAAAAATAACCGTTGATATTTTCACGGAAAGTTGCGATAAAAAGATACAAACGAAAAAAGTAATCATCAATATTTTAACGGAAAGTTACGATAAAGAGACACAACCGAAAAAATATCCGTCAACGATAAAAGTAATCGTCAATATTTCAATGAAGAGTTGCGATAAAAAGACACAACCAAGAAAAATAACCTTAAATATTTTAAAGAAGAGTTGCGATAAAAAGATGCAACCGAGAAAAAATAAATGTCAATATTATAACGGAAAGTTGCGATAAAAAGAACCAAGCGAGAAAAAATAACCGTCAATATTTTAAGGGAAAATTGCGATAAAAAGACACAAACGAAAATGTAACCGCCGATATTTTATCGAAAAGTTACGATAAAAAGACACAACGAAAAATAATCGTCAACAAAAAAATAACCGTCAATGTTTTAACAAATAGTTGCGATAAAAAACACAAACGAAAAAATAACCGCTAATATTTAAACGGAATGTTGCGATAAAAAGACGCAACCGTTCAGATGTGCAAAAGGCATTTATTGAAATTGCTATTATTTATATAATTTTTATGTTAGACCTTTAGTTATAAATCTTATAGTATACGTTTGCATGAATAAACAAACATCATAAATACACATGATTTGAAACGATATTGGGATATATTTGTATTATAATATGTATCTTTAATAATAAAATGGAAGTTTGAACGATATATTTAATTTATTTTTATTCATGGAATTTATTATTCGGTGGAAAAATACACATACATATAAAGCCAT